AAGAAGAAATTAAAAAAAAAAAGAAAAAGAAAAAGCTCTGTTTCTTGTTTGTGTTATTGAGAATGTAGAGAGAGAAACAATGAGGAGAGAGAGTAAAATGGTTGGATTTTGTTGAGAGTGCACCGAATGGGAGAGTGGAAGAGGGGCTCAAAGGGTCAACTTTTAATGGATTTTTAAGTCCAAAAATGGAAAAAAGAAAAGAAAAAAGATCAAAAAATTAAAATCCAGACAGAAAAAACAGGGGATTGCGGTTGAAATTTTGAGGAAAGATAAAGAGGGACAATGATTCGTCCATCGGCGGAGGATTTCCAAATATGGGCATAAAATAAAAGAATCTATGGATCAACTTTGAGATTTGGAAGAACAGACACAAATCTATCTATTTTGATTTTTTTTTCTGGGGGGTTGTTTGTTGCTGCTTTTAAGTTTTAAGTTGGTAGTGAGATTGTGGGGTGTTTGGTAAATGTCAATGAATTTTGTCATTTTTTTTAAAGTATTAAGTTTTTTCTTTATTTAAAGTTTCAATAGATTATTTTGAACCAACGATTGATGTGTGACGTGACAATTAATATGAAAACTTGTTTTGAAAAAAAGAAAAATGTGGAAGATGCTATCATTTTTAAAAGAGAGATTAAAGCAAAATTGGGTAGACAATGGAAGCAACTTTGTTGATGATGGACGAAGAAGACTTCTAGAGTAAAATTACATAGGAAATGTGGAAGAAACTTCCGTGTTAATTACTACTTTGTTCCAAATTTTATCATGTCGACTTTTTGTTTAAATTATTAACGAATGTTTGCAATTATACTATATTTTAAACGTTCGTAAAAGTTCAGGGATACATATATATATATTTTTTGAATAAACAAATATCGAAAATTTTGAAATAATATAGATATCTTGTAAACAAAGGCAAAATTCATGGTGGTTTTTTTTTCTTTTTGTAATTTAGCCTTTTTATTTCTCCATCTTTGATATTTTAACCAATTTCTATTTTTATCTCCTTAATATTTTTTCTTGTTTATTTGTTGACCTATTTTATCTTTCTCTTTTAGTACAACCATGGTGAGGGTAAAAATCCAACAATAAAGTAATTGATGCTTATTTACTGGATGTTTTTTTTCCTGATAATTTTTAAATTTGGTTTATGAACTATTAGAATTATGTCTATCTAGTTCTATACTTAAAAGTTTGTTCAAACTAACTTATTAGCATATAGCATATCTCACATCAATCCGATCTCAATTCAATCATTTTTGCAATTTTGTTGTTTGGTATGATATTTTAATAAAACAAATGACTAGTTGATAAAAAGAATGTGTAAGAGTTCAAATCCTCCGCCCTTAATTATATTTTAAGAAAAATCTCTTATCCAACGTAGTTTTAACAAAGTGAAATTTATAAGACGTGTACCGTGATGTAACTCTAAATTTGTGTAGCCGTGAAATGAACAAATCCATTTACTACGAGATATAGTATTAATGTAGATTCAACTTCTAGAGACAAATATAGTCTCTAAACTCTGGCAAATATTATCTAAAGATCTTGATATTAGGATCATAAACGGCCAAGTTTATCTGGAATGCATCACAAAAAAGATAAAGAGTTTGTGGGAAAAATCCGAAAAAAGAATCCACCCCAAGAGATGAGCTAATTTGGGAGTGGCAAAATTGTCCTTTGCAAAAGGGTCAAATTTTGCATATAAAAACAAGCATATTTGCATCATCACTCCCCATAAGACTCAGAGTCTGGGATTATGAGAACGAAAACAAGGCAGCAACAGCAGCAATACCACAAGAAAGTTAAACTAAACATTAAAACATCAAAAGACACAGCCAAAGTTACATTAACCAGTATTGAAGAATAGAACTCAAAGTCTATAAAATGTCTTCGGAAGTTACAAAACAAGATATAAGTTTCAATAACCTGTGGCCGAGTAGGAAATATGACTAGGTAGTGAGTATAGGAGGGAGGAAGTCAGATTTGGTTCCGAGTATGCGGGCTTTTGTGTCAGGGAAGAACTCAAATCCCGGGAGCTCAGTGATTTCTCCTTCACTGGATACGCCTATGGGGTAGCGGAGGAGGTGACCGGGTAAGTCCCTCTCAAGTGTCTCGCTTGAGTATAGATCCCAATATTTGTCAGCAATTCTGTTAACCTTCGCGGCACACCCTTCACTTTCTGGCTGGAGGAAAGATTCATCAAGCATACCAAGGTGTTCGTACCATAGGGCCATACGGAATCCATGAACTTGACCACGAGCGGGTTCACGGATTGACAGATGATATGGCTGATAAGCTCCCATTGCTATCTCAGAGTCCCTTGCACCGTCCATGGATCTCTGGTTGATATTGGCTGATCCAACGATTATGTACTCGTCATCAACTGCAATAGATGTTTAACTCTTGTCATTTCATAAAAGGAAAGCAAACATGTCCAGAAAACAAAAATAACTCGTAGTTAAGTAGTTAGCAAACTTCTGCATTCCACATTGAAGAGTAAGTAGTCACCAGTCAAGATTAAACTTCTTATCCAAAAGGGATTGAAAAAAAAGGAGAAAGATAAATGATTTTATGATAAAACTGAAAATTTGGTATGGAAGTTAAAATTGATGTAAAGCTTTAGTGTTGAACTGAGCTACTTAGGAATCATGTTAAATAACACACATATCAGCATTGCTTACCAATCATCATCTTGGTATGAACATAAATCATGAAACGCCTGGCCTGCTGAGCTCTCAAATAATCAGAATCGTCCTCCGGTGTTTCTGAAGGTTCATATTCTCCAGACCTCTTGACTTCTCGGTTGCCAAGACAGAAGAATGTCAAGTAGTTACGAGGGTCTTCATCGATACCGTGATCTCTAAGAGCCTGAATCACGTCTTTGTACATCATTTCCATTGTTCTCCTTTGCCAATCTAATATCGCCTGAACGGATCCACTTTCTGGAATTCCTTCTGGCCACATTGGGAGAACTACATAGACAGTGAACCTTTCACCTGCTTTAATCTTACTAACGATCTTAAGGGAAAGCTCCCTTGGGATACAATGCAAAGCACCAATATCCTCAGGCTTGATATTATCAGGAGACCATCCAAAACAACTTCCAAGGAAATATTGGTTTTCAATATAAATAAAGTTTTTAGCTCGCCGAATAGCATTAATGTAAGCGTCCTGAATGCTTCGATCAATAATGTTATCTTTCCCACTGATAAGCCCAGCCCTAGCAGCATCTTCGGGAGTTTCGGGGAAGCCAAAAGCTGCCCCACCATCTATTGATCTAAACAACTGAACATTCCAGGTTTCGTGGTCATCTGGATACATAACAGGAGATGGAGGAATAATTATTTCATCAAGTTCTCGAAGCTGCACAAGTACATCCTTCCCACCTTGTTTCTTCCACCGTTGCTCAAAATTGAACAAGACATCCCAGGCAATGGGCCCTTCAAGCCGGGAATGGATGTCGTGCCAAGGTTCCCTTGGTCCACCTTTTGTGATTAATGCACCAGGAAAATTTGGTTGATGGAAATCGTCATGATGTGCAGTATCCAATGTCCTGAAAAGGGAATGGAATGGTGTGTCATACCTGCCATCGCAGAGATCAAGACCACCAATGAAACTTACAATTCTCCTCCTATCCGATTCTCCACTAGGCATTGGGCTATCCACCACAACAATCTTCTGATGATGAGTGAACATGGTAGAGATTTGTAAATCTTGAACAATGCTTCCACCATCGTCAGGATTTCGAGGGCACAAGACACAATGCACATCAGTATCTTGAAAGAAATGTTCAGTTTCTTCATCATGAGTAGCCATCAGACCATCCTTTTTTAGTAAACCGACAGATGTTCTGTCATCCCAGACAAGCATAAGAACTCTGACACCTTCACTTGCTTTCTTCTTAAGCAGCTCACCAAGCATGATGTCTCCTCCAGGCTTTGGCCTCCTTGAGTCCCTTACTAAGGCAATTTCTGTATAAACAGACCATCCTGTGATGTAGATCAGGTGCTTTGCGTTTTGTATGGCATCAAAAATATCTTCCCAACATCTGTGGGGTGCATAATGCTTTCCTCCAGCAAGAGGTATTTTAGGAACAAAATTATCAGGGATATGAGCATCTTGATACAAAGAAACCTTACAGCCTTGTCTCAGTGAGTAATATGTATAAGGGACTCCAGGAAATCTACGACTTCTTATACCACGACCCCAATTGCGATCCTCAGAAACACTGAAGTATTGCATTTTGACACGAATATTAGGTTCTCCTTCAATTGGTTTTTTATCTTCATCTACAAGTGGAGTTGATCCTTCATATACCTCCCCATTTATGATGTCTTCCACAGGTATATGTGCCCGTCCAATCAAAGTTGCACCAATGGGATTATCATCCTTCACGGTGAAGATAACATGCGATGCCCTATGGGCACAGTAAATATGAAATGATTCGTACCATCTTGGGTTAGAGGGTTCATTTTCTATTATCCGTGTTCTCCCAACTCTAGCCTTTTCTAAATCTACTGTCGCATATAGTCTGGAAACTCCTTTGCCAAGTCCAACAGCCTCCTCAATGTTTTGCATTAACTGCAATAAGTGTTTCTCAAGTAAGCCATTTGAATGACAGAAAAGCAGAAGGATAGATTGGTAGATAAGAGTGCCATTTTTTTTAACATTATATAAATGTTGTCCCCAGGCTTACCATGTTGTAGGATAGATCTTTGGGCTTACACCATAAAAATGCATTACATTCACAATTCAACTAAATCGTAAACTGACTCTTAAAATACGATGTAATAATCAACCTCTTTACATATGCCAGCAGAAGAATATTAGAAAGAACATTTACCCCTCTGAAAACACAGATCTATTATCACATAAAAATTATGTATTATTTTTTTAAATCCCATAATTTCAACAAAAAAAAAAGGCAACATTTCAAAATTCATTTAGTTTCGCCATCAAGTATAAGCATGGAGCATAAACCTTTTAATGTTGAAAACCAAGATCCAGAGAGGAATGATAGGGAGGAAAATTCAACTAAAAGGAAAGGGTTGGAAAGACAATTTACAGATCAATAAGAACCATCCAAAAGAAGGGTTGGAGAGTGAAGGTAAGTAGGCTTCCTGTTCACTCCTTCCAGCTAAAACATAGCGATAATTTCCTCTCCTCTATTCTGTAGCTTTCAATACCTCTACAGTGACACAGTGACCACGCCCAAGAAATGTCCAAAATATTATCATCTCAGTAATTAGCCTAGAGCAACGAACTCAATTTCTCCGGAGTGAAGAAAGTCAAATTATACACGTAAGGACTGGGGGGGAATCGACAGATATGAACATCACAAATCGGCGACGCGACAGAATTTGAGATCAACCACAATACAAATATTTTTCAGTAAACAGTTAGAGATGTACCATGCTGAAGACATTGGATCCACCACCAGAATGCAACCCCTCGACTTCATAGATAGTGACGTGAAGCGTCCCGTGAAGCAAATCACCTTCCATTCTCACCTACACCACCGAAAACAAGTTCCATCCACTTCAAAAGAAGTTGTAAGAAGAAACAAAAAAAACATAATCCACCAATTTTCCAGTAAAACATAATCAGGCGAAAGGATCAGATCAGAAACACACACAAACAGAACATCCAACAGCGTGATCTGTTTGAAAACGAAAAGGAGCGGTGAATTGAACTGAAAATCACACAAAAAAAAAAACAGTAGACAGAGTAAGAAAGGGATTGGAGAACGAACTTGGATTTGCAGAGAGATGCAGTGAAATTCCAACGTCTGGGAGCGAAGAACCAACGAAGAGATCCGAGTAGAGTGTGAAGAGAAGAGATCAGATCCGATGGATTCCTTGGGATTAAATATGAGGAAGAATTGAATGAAAAATGATTGGAATGTGTGAATGAGAGAAAGTCAAGAGACATGAACGATCCGCGAAAGCAGCTGAAGTAAAGCTCCGAAAGTCCCCCACGAGGAGACGGTGAACGACGGGATCGGCAATGCGAGTGGATTTAATTGTTTATTTATTTAATTATTTTTTATCCTTTTTTCCCCCCTAAATTGAAAGGAACCGTGTCTGTGGGCCATTCATAAATGGAAATGGGCCTCCTCTTTTTATTTCTGTCTTATTTTTTGGGGTTATTTGTTACATTCCAAACCGGTATTTTCATTTTAATTTTGTGGACTATTTCAGAATAAAGAACGGCATAATATTTCAACTTATTTTTTTTCTTCTTTCTCATTTATTAGTAATTAGTAATTTTCTTTATATATATATATATATATATATATATATATATATTTAGTAAAATGTGTGGGGTGAGAGATCGAAGTTCAACCTCTTGGTTAGAGATATATTCAAATAACCGCTGAGTTATGCTCGTTTTGGTGTAACTTTTTTTATATTTCAATCGAAACATATTGTAGAACATTAGGTATTAATTGAAACATATTGTAGAACATAAGGTATTAATTGTTATATTCAGAGTTAGGATACCAATTTAGCATAGTTTAATAGATAAAATACATATTATCATTATAAAGTTGATGACTTAATCCCCACCACGTAATTATTGAAATTAAAATTATTGAACTAAAAATAAATTACGTTATTAAGAGAAATTGACGTAATATGTCTATAAAACTATTTTTTTTATTACTACAACAAATGTGAGAATGGGAGATTGAATCTCCTACCCTTAAGAAATGAGCCGAATATATTAGCGTTGAGCTAAGCTGATATTAATGTGGCTATTTTATTGTCTAACTACACCTCGTCAACTTTAATTTTTTTACAACGCAGTTAATTAATATTGATTTAATGGACATATTACGAMATTTCTTTAATAGTTTTTTCGTAATAGAAATTAAATAAAAGTATATACTATAAAATTTAGTGACATAATTGAAAATAGTACAAAGTTGCCTGATAGAATATATACAAAGAAAAGTTTACTCAAAAGATACAAAATTCAAAATTGTTATGTTGGCGAGGATTCCTAACATTACAAAGTGAATTATTGAATAATTGAAAACTAATCATACGTTGAAATCGAATGCTTTGAAAAATAAATCTGATTGTCCAACTAAATTCAATCCAACACCCATCCACTAAATAGACCAAGATCGAACCTAAATAATCGACTAATGTTTTATTTTATGAAATTAAACCAAACAGACATATGTCGCTCTATCAAACCAACTCAATTTAATAGATGGTTTTGGTTATCTTTCATTCCTCTGACATAAAAGGGACCACACAATTCACAATATGATCGAAATATTTACCTAAGGCCTACTTCCCATAATATATTTATTTTTCTTTAAATAGTCGCAAAAGTATACTTTCAGTCAATCAGACTTCAAAAAATGAAAAAGTTAACGTTAACATCATCATTATTACTTTGCCACATAATATTGACTTATTTAATACTTGCAACTTATGTAGCTTCTTCAGTACATGTCTACATTTTCCTGGAAAAAAAGGGGTCCATATTAGCATTTTATTACACATAATCAAAGTCATACGACCCATTTATTAAAACAAAGTAAATAAATAATTAAAATAGTTATTTTTTTATAGTAAAGGACTAAAAATTAGACATTTGGAAAGTTGATGGATCAAAATATAATAAACTAAAAAATTAAAAGAATCAAAATAGAGCTTTTGAAAATTTAGAGTCTAAAATAAAATAATCATGAAAGTTCTTCAAAGGTTTCTAAATATATTCATAAGCTTATAAAATATATAGTTTCAAAACTAAATTGTTAGGTTTAAATCCATTTTCGTCCTTAAATTTTATAATTTTATTCAATTTTAGTCGTTGTTACGCAACCCTTAATATTGAAAAATAATTACTCCGTTCGGAACAATCTTATTTTCACCATCACTAAATGTTTGACAACTAAGAGAGGAATGTAAAAATAAGAATTATTATTATTTTTTTTTTATAACGAGTCTTCAATTTTATAAGAAACAAGATTTGATCTGGAGTCAAGTATATTTTTTTAATATTTACCTATCAAATATACACATTAGACAATGGACCCGTATTTGACCCGACTTTATATATATATATATATATATATATATATATATATATATTCACGTCCATGCATTAATACATGACGCAATAATCCATATGATAGAAGAGAAATCTTAAAAAGAGAATGAAAATGGGAGAAGGGAAGGGGGGCAATTAGGTAATATGAGAGTTTTCTATTAGCGGGAAAAAGTACCTAACTTAACGAACCACCCACACGCAGCATAGCCAATAGCAAGAATCGTTCGTTGGCTTTTGGCTATTTCCCCTCTTTCTCTCACTCTAACAACTGGTGCACAATAGCATCCCTCCCCTTTCCACGCTATTGTGCACTGCCTTCGATCCCCCGTCGCCTCCGCCGCCGCAGCAATGGGGAAGAAGGTGTCGCCGCAGCCGCCGTATGACGACATCGAGTCGATGTCGTTCGAGGTCCGGAAGCCCCTGTCGATGCCGCCTCCGCCGAGATATTACCCGCCGCCGCCCAAGCCCTGGTTCCCCTGGCTGATGCCCCTCACATTTATCGCCAACATCGCCATGTTCGCCTTCACCATGTACCAGAACAATTGCCCCGCCGTCACCGGCCCCCGCCGCTGCCTCTTTTACCCCGAACTCGGCCGCTTCTCTTTCCAGCCCTTCCAAGAGAACCCCCTCCTCGGCCCTTCCATTAATATGTAACTCTCTAATCCCTCTCTCTTTCCCATCAATTCTTCTTCGTTTTTATGCAATTTTGAAATATGGGTTTTGTTTATCTCGATGAAATTTCGTAACCCTTATACAGAAAACAAAATTTTCTGGTTTCTGCACAAGGGGGAAAGGGGACCAACTTTTTCTTGCTTTTTTGTTTTCATGAATCTGTTGGATCATTCTTATTCATCTAGTACCAAATTAATTGGGGGAGGATATGACGTAATTACTGTAGTTTATATATACAGAATCCCTTGCTCTTGTATCTATGTTAAATCATCTCTCGACCTGAAATGTTTCGTTGTTTAAGTTGGTAGATYACAGCAAATTTAATTCTTGTTTTTCATATTCTAAATATTTTCCAGGGTTTTGAGCTTGGAGCATTAACACAAAACTCAACAACTGATTGTTCGATGATGTGTTAAATTTAACTTTTTATTCATATTTTCAATACTTTCCTTGCTTGGGAGCTTGAAAATTAACACACAAGAGGATCAATATCAATTGAGGAGGAAATTATATAATTTCATGTATCGGAACTCCTGTTTTCATACTATATTAGTCGCTCAACCCAAAAACTTATGTTCATTTATTCATATTTTTAATACTCTCCATCGAACTTGATATTTAGCACAAGGCTCAACGCAAGTGATTATCGATATTGGTTGAGAAGGAAATGATGCAAGTTTGAATACCGAACCTTTTGTTTTGTTTTTTTTTTTCTTCTTATTATTGATATTTAAGCTGTTGGAAAATGGTGTTGCAGATTGAAACGATATGGAGCACTGGACAGAGAGTCAGTAGTGGAGCATGGCGAAGGGTGGCGCCTGATTTCCTGTATCTGGCTTCATGCTGGAGTTGTTCATTTACTTGCCAATATGCTCAGCCTTCTCTTTGTAGGAATTCGACTCGAACAAGAATTTGGATTTTGTAAGCACTTCTGCAACTATTGATTAAGATTTAAACAGTCATAGTTTCATTTTTCATGACTTTCTGCACCTCCTAAAGGGAAAACAGAGATGTCTCTGTTTTTAAGGTGGGTTTGGAGTAATTTTATAAAAAAAAAGTGCTTTCATGTGAAAGCAGTTGCAGCTTCTGACTTTGCCTTGTGTTTTTAGACTGATTTTGAAATGGATTTTGTTGGGTTTGCAAAGTGAATGGAAACAAAGTACTRTATTGACTAGGTAAGGAAATGATCCATAGTATATAGATGAGGATAATTATCTCTATTGATATGAGACTTTTTAGATGAAACCAAAAGTAAAATCACGAGAGTTATGTTCAAAACGGACAATATTATATCATTGTGGAGATAYTTGGGAGTACGATGATACCATTTTCCTTAACAGGTTTTAAAGAAAATGTTCGGAAAGGGATTTAAGGTCATTTTTTCACCGTTTCAAAAGTCATTCTAAACTTACTCTGAAAGAATCTCTCGAAACCGATTTGATGATTCTTTTTTGGATTTGGCAGTGCGAATAGGCTTTTTGTATCTGCTGTCTGGATTTGGTGGGAGTTTACTGTCATCTCTGAATATCAATCCAGTAGAAAATCCAACCATATCAGTTGGTGCTTCTGGTGCACTTTTTGGGCTTTTGGGAGCAATGCTTTCTGAGCTTATCACAAACTGGACAATATATTCAAATAAGGTACCAAAAAGCTTAATTTTCCATTCCAATTTTCTATATTATATCACAAAAGACTGCGTTACACATCGGTCAATAGGAGATTTTATTTGGAACGCAATAGTAATAGACCAATAAAAATATGCCACATCTAAAAGTAACTCGAAATGCTCTTAAAGATTTTGCACTCTCATGATCTGTTTGTTAATGGATCTTCAGTGTGCAGCCATGATGTCTTTGATTCTGGTCATTGCCTTAAACTTGGCAGTCGGGTTTGTGCCTCACGTTGACAACTCCGCGCACATCGGAGGCTTYGTCTCGGGCTTTCTCCTTGGCTTTGTCCTCCTAATGCGACCGCAGTTCGGATACGTTAACCGCAAGTACATCCCTGCAGGGTCCGACGTGAAACGAACAGCCAAGCACCAATGTTACCAGTACTTCTTATTGGTTTTAGCTCTAGGCCTCTTGATTTTCGGGTAAAAAACGAAACGGCTACAAGAAATTGTATATTCAATGACATTGTTTTCGGTTATTTTCGTTAACTTTTAACTTGCCACTGCCTTTTTTTTTGTTCTGCAGATATGCTTCTGGTTTAAGGAGGCTATACAGTAACAAAACTGCTCCACGAGTATTTGAAAGTAATATTTTCTGAAGGCTACCATTGGATTGAAGCAAAATACTTTGACTTGATAAATTGCTTCTCTGGTGCAAGTTGATGAGGGGAATGGAGAGAACTTTGTTCTTTTTAATTTTTTTTCTTTTCTTTTCTTTTCTTTTTTTTTTTCTTTTTAAAGTGTATACGATTAAAACCATTTTAATGTGAAGTTAATTTCTTCTCACTCGAAGTAGTAGAATAATTGTATGTAGGAAAGTATTACCACTTCTTTGTTTACAAGTGAGGAATTTCTTTTTGTTTTTGTTTTCAATCCTACCATTCTATTATACCTCTATTTATTTATTTATTTATTTATTTTCTGTTTTGAATCTCTCAAGAGGAAAGATCCAATTTTTACTCTGAAGTTTCAACTTTCAAGCAATGGAGTGGAGCCAATGTTAGAGATTTAGTAATAGATTGTGATAACTTTGTKAGGTTTATGGTTCCTCAAATTTTTTGCTTTTGAATTGATGACATGGAAAGAAAGGGAAGGAAATGGATTAACTGGATTTTGGTTCATTTTGTAGTTGTGTAATGTGTGACTTTAGTAAGATGGAAAGCTTCAGGGAGGAGAGGAGAGCACCGAACTCTGATTCATCCACTTGATCTTTGCTCAATAGTTGGAACACCCGAAGGGGATCAGATTCAAATTGGAGCGGAAGAAGACCAACACCAACCGCCAAGAATAAGCCCTCCTGTAGCCGGTGGGCACCTCTAATTTCGGGCATTCCAAATAGTCCAAAGAAAAATAGAAACCTCTTCAACACTAAACCACAGATACACATTGCTCCACCAAGTCACGAAATAAATTAAGCCCATCAACCACACCTCAAGGAAGAGGGGAAGCCAGAAGAGGAAAATGACTCCTAAAGAGGCCGAACTTTCTTACAAAACCATAAAATATGAAGGGTAGATTCCCCCTTCATGCCACATAAAATACAAGTATTCAATATATCCACGCCTGAACCAACGAGTCTAATTGACAAACGGTTMAGACATAAATGTCACACAAAAAATTTAATTTTTACTAGGTGTTAGGGGTCAAATTAGGTAGACTAAAGCCTAGAAAAATAAAGGAAGGTTTGGTCCATAAAGGCAACTCATCACTCAAGACCAGCGCTAGCCTTTCGCATTGTGTGGCATTAACTCCCCCAACCACAAAATGAGGGGCTGGGGGAGGTCATCTGCAGCCCACCATCACCTTGAGTTTTAGTGCTGTCCAAACGGCCATCAACCACCTTGGGGCACCGTTTTGGGCCACCACCAATATGGTACCACTTTAAGCCTCACCATAGTGCGGATTTTAGTCACGAGGGACCCTTTCCTTTTTGTGCATCCATTGGTCTTATTATAGAGCAGAATATAGTGTGGGAGTTGACTTTGACCACCTCCCATAACTTTTCAAGAACCCGTTCACATTGCCACCAAAAGCTATAAATAGAAAGGGTCTCTAACCTTTCAAGGTACATCATTCTCTCTCAAACCACTCTTACTTCTCTCCTCTTAARCTCATATACTAAGCATCGAAATGTGATARGTTGGCATCACGCCGACATCTACTCACCTTCTATTTTTGTAGGGCACTTTCGCCTCAACTTYCAAACGGTAAGATCTCGTCCTTCTCCTGCTCACAACCTACCGGGTCTCGACTTCTCCCAGCTAACCCAACCTTTCTTTGGTCACTCGACGATCGATCCGATTCATCAACTCCAAGTCCGACCAGCTTACCAAAAATTGCATCAACACTAGGGATCTAAATCTTCCAAAAACCCTTCCACTATTGTAGCAAATTATCATCAGAAGAATATGATGGATTTTAATATATATCAGGAAGTTGTGCTAGCCTATAACTGTTCATTGTGTAGACACCTCGCGTTTCAAAATTCCAAATGAGTCGATTAACTGAGATAATATTGACTGAAATATTCGAGATGAAAGGAGCATCATCTTCCSCAAAGTGAGCATGAATTTTGTCCCGATCCCAAGACTCCATCGGTGTTCGAAGATCAAGGGGAAGAGTCGGGCAGGATTGAACAAGAAAGGACCCGCCATTTGGAACCCATTTATTAAAAGAGACGCAAATGTTCCCTCCAAAACCCACACGCCACCGAATTCCAGATGGTATAAGGTTTCTACCTCATAGGAGGTTTTGCCAAATGAAGTATTAAACCTCAACTTAGTGCCAACAAAAATCACAATGCTATAAAAATTTATGCTTCAACAGATGACCAAGAGAGAGTCCAAATCACTCGAAAGACACCGACATAGCCAATAATACTGGGTTAAAATGCTCCCGATCACAAAAACCAAAACTTCAAGGCAAACAGATAATGTTAATTTTCCCCAGGGGCCATCCCTGTGGGGACCCGCCTAAATGAGGCGGGAATCCCCATTTGAATTCTCCACGAGGTGGGGATGGGAAAAGTTTTTTTCCCGTTCCCCACCCCGCATTTTTTTAATATATATATATTAAAAAAATTTATTATTCTTCCTATATTTATATATACTAATACAACTATATTCTTTCCTACCTACCAAATATACGGAGGAGGATTAGACTATATAAATAAAATTTTTATCGTTGAAAATTAATTAATTAATTAGAAATTTTGTTAAGAAAAATGTTGCATTGACAAATAATTTAAAAGTAAAAGAATAAATGGGAAAAAATTCCCACGGGGATCAATCCCCGTGAATTCTTTGCGGGGAATCTCCATCCCGATAGCATGAAATTTCATGGGGAATTCGCGAGGATGGAGAATTAAATGGATGGTGGAGATAGAGATGGGGATGGAGATGGAGATGGGGAAGCCTTCCCGGTCCCTCGAACATCCCTACTTCCAATCGACCTAGCCTATTTTACATCTAATTATTTTTTTTTTAAATTTTTGATTTAACATAGTCTAGTTATTACTTGGAAAATAAGTGCTCATAATTGGAGGAAAAAAAAAAAGGAAAAGGCAAAAATTAGATTCAAAGTATCCTGCATTCGTCTTCGAACTCAGGGTTTTAGGTAGGCGTCCGGCAGAATCAAATCGATTATCCAGAAGCAAGAACTGTAAGAATCAGTAGGGGCTCACCAAAAGCACCGCAATGGGGTGGATTGGTGACACCGTCGACTCCGTCAAATCTATTCAGATTCGTCAGCTTCTTTCGCAGGCTCTCACTCTTGGTGCGTATGTTCTTAAGGTTACCATTTTTGTTCTTTATCTGTGTCGTATCACTTGGAATTGAATTCCCGCTCAGTTTCATCAGAATCATACTCTACGGCTTTCTGTATCAGTTAATTTCTTCATACAAGTAGTTTCAGCTCATTTTTTCCTTAATCCTTCTTATTTTCGAGTGGATTCAGCACATTTGAGCATTTTGCATCATGTCAAGTTTAAATTTCTGTGCTAGCGAACCGTTTTACTTGATCCAAATACTCAGTACAGTACAAATCCATTTTCAGGTTTGATCGTTACATCTGCTCTTATAATCTGGAAGGCGTTGATGTGCATTACTGGCAGTGAGTCTCCTGTTGTTGTGGTCTTGTCTGGAAGCATGGAGCCTGGCTTCAAGAGGGTGAGTTACCATATAACCTTTGATAATCCATCCACGAGGATATTTTTTCCTTGAATGTATTTTTTGAGAAAGGATTTCTTTGGAAAAAGGAGGTGGGATTGGGGAAGAGGGGCGTTGAAACCGTTTTTCATCTATTGTCTACTATGCACAATGTTTGGAGCAAGGTTTTATGGTCAGTGGATATGACTTATGAGTTTTGTGGCCAATGGTCAACCACTGGTGTGTAGGTSTTTGGTAAATTCTAAGTTCTTTTCTTTAGGAGGTGGAGGATTCTTTGGCAATTAGGGATCTTTCTTGGAGAGAAATAAAAGGATTTATTGTCAAATGTTTACTGATAGATTAGGGATTTGAAGCTGTATTCTATAGCTTTGCTTTTGACCTCTATTACTTCTGAAGTTTTTTCGTACAGCTCTGTGTGGGGATTACTAGTCTTGTGAGAGGAACTCTTTAACTTTCTCCTTACTCATCTAATTACAATTATCTAAATTGTGTTCAGGGTGACATTTTATTCTTGCACATGAGCAAAGATCCTATCCGAACAGGGGAGATTGTTGTTTTTAATGTTGATGTAAGTACTTGTTAAAATTTTGTTAGTCTATTAATACAGACAGTTCTTATGTGCATCGGACAGTGATCACTTCGTTGGTTATCGACCTTAAAGAATTCATAAGTTTTAGCATTCTCACCTTCCTGGACACTATCAATAGCTTACCAATTGTGGATTTTCATTGTCATGCATTCAGAAGGCAAAATAACTCCTTTTCCACTGATGTGTTCTTCTGTTGTCTATCTTATTCAGGGTCGTCCTATTCCAATTGTCCATCGTGTAATTAAGGTGAATACGATATGCTGACTATTTTATTGCATCTCAATCCCCCATGAAACCTGTGTTACCATTATATTCAAGCATATATCATCTATTCCATCACATGTCACCCTCTCCAGAAGTAAGCACTATGAGTTCCTGAAGGCAGACTGTAGTTCCATCTTTATTGTCCACTTCCTGCTCTTATATGGAGAGGAGTATTTTCAGTAAAGCAGAATATGTTAGTTTTGTTGTTTTTTTTTTCCTTTTGGTATGGGAATGTCAGCCAAGTCATGCTGTCGGTGTTAACCAAGAATTAAACAGTTWGAGGCTAATCAGATTTGTTTCGTTTTTTTCAGGTTCACGAACGTCAAGATGATGGAGAAGTCGATGTACTCACTAAAGGTGCCAGCTTGTAGGACAAGATAGAATAATTTGTTAGAGTTCAAATAGTGATTATCAGAAAACCTCTGTGAGGAATAGTTCATAAACTGATATAAGGGTCTGGGCTACCAGGGATGTGACCTAAATCTGATATCATGATTCGTATTTTTCTTTTGGAATTTTCCCTTTCTTTTTCATCTCTTTCTTCTCCTGCTGCTCCCTTATTATACTTGCCTGTGTTGATTCATCAGGAGATAACAACAGAGATGACGACAGACTCTTGTATGCACGCGGTCAGCTCTGGCTTCAACGGCACCACATCATGGGCAGAGCTGTCGGGTAAAAGTTTGCGCATTTTCCATTTTATGCAAAATAGCACACCCCACCAGTATCACAAAATGGACCAAATTAATTATTTGTCAAATTATGAAATATAGTAGAGCATCATATGAAATTCCAACATCACCAGAAATCTTTACGATTGCAATCGTTTGATTGTCAAGTAAAGTTACCAGGAAGTGATTTGAAGATGATTTTTTTAGCTTAAAAGTGGATTATCAGCTTCAGCTTTCTCCACTTCTATGTTCATGTAGCTATGCATATAGTTCCTTTCTCCATTTATGAAGCTTTGCACAGAAGTGAAAGATCCTCATGATTGTGATTCTCAGGTTCTTACCATACGTGGGATGGGTGACTATAATCATGACTGAGAAGCCAATTATAAAGGTTTGCACCAAATTTAAACCCCCCTCTCCCTCGCTCTTATCGGTTTATTTTTATGCCGCCTCTTCAGTAATCATTCAAAACACTTCGAACCATCTTGTMTTTCACTTGAATAGTAAAAGGGTAAGGCTGTTTCTTGAACTTCTGTGCTTAATTTATCCATGATGTTTCTTACTTGCAGTATATCCTCATTGGTGCACTGGGTTTGCTTGTGATGACTTCCAAGGATTGAGATTGAACCAAAAGCTACGAGTTTTGGCAGTTACCACAGAAAAGTTGATGAGAATCATTACCAGCAGCAACTAGCCCATTACCTTGGTTTTCACATTCTTCTGTAGGAAGAACGACCAAATTCCATGAAATAAATTAGATAAGATTGTTTCTCTTTTTGCATTTGAGTCAGAATACCAACATTTACAGAGTTAGAATCCTTTTAAAAAAGAAGGCTTCTGATGAGTATTGTAATCAAAGCACTAGCAATTGCCAAGCCAACCTTAAGAAGAGAAAAAAAATAGGACATCCAATTTTGATATGCTATAGCACATGCTTATTCAATGTATGTAATCAACATGATGTCCCACAAGATTGGAAAATTGAGATAGATTCTATCAAGAAATGGGTTGCAATTTTAACTGGTAAAAATATGAATCTATTCTGCCTCAGCATGAAGGGGTAGAAATCTGGAAGAGCAAGAACTCAAGAGTCAATATTGTAAATGTACTAAAGCACTTGTGAACAGGAAAAGAAAAAAAAAACAACAATGAAGATGAAATAATAGAGAGGGAAAATGGTTACATACAAAATGATAAACCTGAGTTTCTTGAAATCACAGTTTGAACTCACAAAAACAGTCGGACAATGCAGATCCCCTGCCCATGGCAAAATCATCTCTATGAGTCTTCCATAAGGCTTGCTTCAACTCCTTCCCTTTCAGGCCCTTGTAAGTGAACTCTGCAAAAGCTCTTCTACTTAAAAACAATGTCCTCTGCTTTCCATTGAACGTTCGCATCGCTGCAACCATCTTGTCCATATTTCCAAARAATGTGGCTACATAAGAATCACTATTAATAGACACATAATAATCCAATGCAGCTTTTGTGTTGCCATGCATTCTTGAGAAATCGTCGCTACTGAGGAAGCTAGACTTGGTCACTACGTTGGTATAAACCGATGTGAATCCTTCTAATTCCTTCAAACCATCACCAGCAGCCAAGTAAATATGCGTATTAGTTGGAATATGGAGTGCTTGAAGGATGAGGGCTGTCTCATGGGGTGTGAGAGGACATTTCCCACGCTTTCTCCATGTTTCAGCCAACTCCCCAGTCCAGGGTTTTCTATCTCCCCGAGCCGCCTCGATTGCTTCGAGAGAAGCAGAAGAAAGCCCTTGATATTCACATTGGCTATAAGCCACCATATCTGGTTCAAAACGAAGATGAAGAGAGAGAAAGGGTTTTGGAATGGCCTCCAGAAGCTCCTTGGCTTTCTCCTCTATAGATTYAGCAAGGCGCAAAGCATTGTAACAAGCTTGACAAAGGGCAGCTTTTGCATACTGAGGATATCTGGAAAATGTTTCGGGAGGAGAATATTTTAAAATATGGTCAATGAATCACACGCACGCAAGGCCAAGAGAATCAACTGAAAGCTCCTAAATACAATAAACAAAATACTTAACTAAATTAAAAGGTCAAGAAATACAATTCTCAAGTACCTGTCCCTTCTCTGGCTCATTGCTGGAGTTATTGAAATGTAATGATGTTCCAATAATGATGGAAGGACACTTTCAATATAGTCAAACTGTCCTTTGCGTTTGCTACAATCCACATGATAAGGCTCTTTGGATGCAAATTCAGACGGCAACTCTTTGACAACTTTTACATAACCATTCATCTGACTGATGAAATAGTCGACATCAAATACATCTGCAAAACCACTGGAGAAACAGCAAGGTTTAACCATGCTAGCAGCTTACTAATATTTTTTTTAGTACATGGAAAATGTATTCCAGTACATTGGAGGAGACCCACAAGCCAGTAAATGAACATGTTATTGACATCAACAGGCAAAGGCCAAGTTTAATAGAATTACAATGGATTTATGAATAAAAAGTTGCAGCTAGATCAATGCATAAGTGAAAGATATTATCATGAATTACCTCGATTCATTCCAATATGCAGCCACTTCAAACTTTGGCAGAACCAAGGTTGCATTCAACAGCCGTGCTATGCCAACTCCATCACACAACTGCACACATGATAAAGGGCGACAGCTGTTAGGTAGAAAGTTTTAAGTTTTAACAAAGTAATAAGCAAAGTTTAGGTTAAAATTATGAAAAACTCGTAGAATATTACATCTCTTCTCATCTGATTGAGCCCACCATAGCAATCCACACGTATATATCCATTGGTATCAGCGGGCAGAGCTGCAGCATTTCAAAAAACCAATCCAAATGTCTGCAATGAAAGCCAATTAACACTGACTCAGACTATCAAAACTAATCAGAAACCCCTCCCAACACTTTGTTACACTCTAACCCTTTTTTTCCTGGAACAACATACAACATAAAGTCCGTAGAACCTTTTATCTATTATTCCATGCATTTTGTCTAACATGAATTCCAACTCAAGGATTTTATAGTACCCGAATCATCACAATTAGTCCAAAGGTATACCAAACGAGGAACCTTGCTATTATTTTATCAACGAAAAGTTGAAAAGTAAAATCAAATCAGCTTACCAGGTAGGTAACCTTGAAGCCACCACTTGCAAGGCCTCCACTCTGCTATCCTTCGGACACTCCATATTTCCGCGTTGCCTCTGCACGAACGTTGGGTCAAATTAGTCTTCCGTCTTATAGAAGAATTATTCACAGTATTTCAACCGGAACTGTTAGATATGTTTTCAATTCCAGAAAAAGAACTAAGATAAACCACAGAGGTTAGAATGAGCTGTCCCCTAATAACAGTGTTTGATGCACGTTCGAAAATCTGCACACCCCTAATAACAGTTAGATAGTTCAAAATGTTTTTGGGYGACCTCTCTCAATAATTTTCCGAAAGAACGGGGCGGCCGGCGATATGGCCTCTATCCTATCCTACTATTAGATCTGGGGGAAAAACTACTAATCTAACTTCATCTTATCAAGCAATTCCAATTTCCTATGGATTTCTCCACTCCCTACGCAACTACATGGCACGAAGTAATCAACAAAAACTAATTAAAAGGCGAAAAATAAGAACACATTCTTAAACAGTGCAAGTTCAAGTGGGAGTTCCACCATCTCTTCGAAAAAGAAACGCCAAAAACGAGCCGTTCTTCATTCTAATTTCAACATTTAATTTCGTGATCATCGAATCGTTTGCTCAGAAGCCAGAACACAAACATAATAGATGAAGGAAAGTGAAGCGTACCGCTTATGAGTAGATGAGAGTGAGGAGCTTGAGAAAAGCGAAGAGGGCGGCGACAGGAGAAGCACCACCAAGAACAAAGAAAGACTGAGAACTAGAATGCTAAAAAATGGCTTCACTGAGACAACAAACATTTCAGATCCGCCAAAGCCTTCTTCCTCACCATCCACAGGAACGGATCTGGCCGTAGATCGTAACCGGAAGATTCGCCGAAGCCTTCTTGTTCGCTCTTTCGGCCTCAGATTGATCTGATCGTCGACGAACTGTACAACTCAGAAGATGAAGATCCTTAACAAGAATACGATTTCGTTGAACCGGATAGAACCGGATAACGGTCSATATAAACCGGGTTCCTTTCTTTTTCTATTTGGATTCTTAGCATAACTTTTCTTTTTCTTTCTATTTTGTACCAGTTAATTTTGTATAAAAATTTAGGTTAAATTACGGGCCTTAGCATAACTCACTGATTGATGTTTAGTTAGGTTAGAAATTCAAATCTTGTACCAACAAAATTCAGGTTAAATTATAAGTTTAGTTCTATGAATTGGACTATGGTGATATTTATATTTTAAAAAGTTTTGAGTACATCTCAAGACTTTTAATTTTAATTAATATTTATCAGTAGTTACTTAAATCTCAAGACTTTTAATTTTAATTAATATTTATCAGTAGTTACTTAAATATTAACACATACTGATCACATTTTCATCGATATTTAAGGATTATAATTGATATTTTATAGATATTTTCATAAAATTGAAGATATTTTCATAAAATTGAAATATCAGTGTTATATCACCACCATTTGTTAKTCTAACCAACATGACATGTCAATATCGATATTACAATATTTATTTTTTCCTTAAAAGACTAAATAGATATAAAGAACCACTAATGCTTTATTTTTTGCTCCTTCGTCTTCTACAAGGATATCTTCGGTACTCCAAAACACCACAGAGAGAACAAAATTTGAACAAGAAATAGGAACCTGAGATCGAGTTGCATAAAGAAACACCACTGGGGCAACGTAATTTCCTGCTACAAACTGTACCAAAAAAAAAAAAAATTGTAATAGAACAAAAATTGAAATATAGCATACAATCTCCTCCAATAGGATGCGATTTGTCCATATTCTCAAGCATAYAGGGTGTTACAACTGAGGCGATAAGGTCCTGTTTCTGCTGAAGCTAATAACTAGAGTGGCTCTTTGCTTTGTGCAGAACATCCTTCAAAACTACACCAATTCTTTGGGCCATGTGCTGTTCCATAAACAGCTGCCTCACCCTCTCATACCCTTTCTTTCCAATGGTCAGCCGCCTCTCGACGTGCGTTGCTAGCTTCACAATGTTTTGTGCCAGAGGAGCCACGCCTTCTTTCCCAGCGGGATGTAGCAAACCCGTTGTCCCGTTCACTACGATCTCCATAGTTCCTCCAGCAGCCGTGCCCTTTACGTACATAATACAGGTATCGGAAAATGCACGTGAGAGTTTGTCAGATATGAAGAGCGGATGATGATGTTTCCAAGAGGGGCGAAATTTGGAATGAAGAGATCAAATGCACAGAGCAATAAGATTTTTATGTGTTTTATTTGAAGGAGATGGAAATTTCAATAATGTACTACGAGGTAGTCATCTTACCAGCACAGGCAGCTGAAATGCCATTGCTTCAATAGTTATTCTCCCAAAGCATTCTCCCCTGCCCTACGCACAAACAGTAAATTGGAGATTTAGAGGCAAACAAAGATTGATCTAACGGGTTTCCATACCAAAGAATGAGAAGAAAAAGGAAAAAGAAAATATATATGGTCCCAAAATGCAAATATAAATCAAGAACGTAACATTATACTATATTATGACTAGAAATTTATTCGGATTACAATCTAGTTCAAAATGCTGGTTCCATTGATAAGTGAAGGTTTAGAACAAGTTCTAAAGACAGCTTGAATGTGGGGACTGAAGGGTTCGAATTAGCCAACGCCCCCTCCCACCTAGGATAGAAAATCTGTCTTTTCAAAGCTATCGGCCCACTAAAAAATGTGTTCTTGTGACAGTGCCTGCTCCTGGTCAGAAAATATGGTGTAGGTAGAAATAAGAAGTTACTGCAGAACACTAAATTAAAATAGTTCTAGCAAAAACTGACGGTTCGGTGCAATACGGAAGGTATTTAAAAGAAGAGGGGAAGAAAGGAAGATAGAGAAGAGAAACAAATGGATCTACTAATGCCATTAGGCAAAATACTCCATTCCCCTCTACGAAAGRTGAAACAAATAATCTCGCATAGTTTCTCTACAAATTTCTGATGTATGTTAAACAGTTGTAGTACCTGAGAGTTTTGAACAAGAACATCAATAGAAGCTAGATAAGGAGTCACGGACAGGGTTTTGTTGACAAAATGAACRCGATCCTGAATTTTATTCTCAGTCACAAAGTTGCGCAGTTCTGTTTCAAACTTCGTCTGAGCACTCATGTCACTGCCAACTACCACGGCATGTATCCTTGGTACCCGCAWTTTTTTAACTTGGATCATTTGGAGGCTCTGATGAAATGCTCGGAGAAATAGATCTTGACCTTTTCCACGTGAAACACCTAGAACCACATCGATCATGTGTTGCAATACACTTCATATTAACATACTTCATTGAAAATTAAGGAAACAAATAATCAAATTAATTCACATCGTACAGATCATGTGTTGCAATACACTTCATATTAACATACTTCATTGAAACTTAAGTAAACAAATAATCAGACTAATTCACATCGGAAAAAACTGCACAACTTCGTATAAAGGAGAGAGTGCCATTGTTCTTGACAAATTAATCAACAGAGCGTATCCCRTATACAGGAGAGAGTACCATTGTTATTGAGGGAAAAGTTTGCTTTTATATCAGAGAAAATCCATATTCTAAAAACTGATGACAATTTCCTTCGATGCACAAGAGACAACTTTCTCTTGAATAGGTAACAAAAGTATGTGTGGCCTCCCTGGCAACATTATATATCATAGTATTAAATTTCATTAAAATATTATATCAACAGCTGTTTTCTTATTCGCCCRAATTACCAAACTCAAAAACATCAAATTGAAGAGGTAGCAGATGCTATTGGCAACAAGATGCTATTAGCTTTATGAGGGCTGTAGTCAACAGAAGGCACAGAACCCAGAAACTCTAGGAACAGAAAATGTCAACATGTAAGAGTGAACTACCAGAACCAGATAGCCTAACTAATGCATTATATGAAATTAAGAACTACAATTTTCTTAAAAAAAAAAAAAAAACAGTAACAGATAAATGGAGATTAAGTAGAAGCATATCATCAGGAATATGAGCTTACTATTTATAATTGCAAACAATATATCTTCATGCCGAACTCCAAGCCTCTCACGAATGTGCTCCCGAAGAACCCTCTTGGCCACATTATTTTCAGCGACTTCCATAAGGTCTTTACTATTTCCAAGATGCACGACATAGGTTTCAGGCATTTTAATTCTGAAGAACATAAAGAGAAATAATTTTTAGAGTATGACTGAAGGATCTAGGAGAGTATACAAGGTGCAATTGTGAAATGATTAATTGTTAAATCTTCCTCACAACATGGGTAGTTTTGGAAGGTACTATCAGGGAAAAAGGTGGCCTGGGGGTCCTTGATAATCACAAATGATAGAGAGAAGWAGCTAGTGGAATATTCGACACTTTAAGATGGACCAAAAAGATARCCATAGAACAAACATGTTGTGGAAATAAATCAAAATGCCGAATAGACAAAATAGAATCCGAAGGGCGATAGCGCCATGCTAGCTTACAACTATACTSGTGAAAAGCATCAGCTATATCTGAAGGAAAGGAAAATTATCATATCATTATCGAAATCCTACCCTAATCGTTCCCGTGTTCTGTTTTTCCAGTATTCTGCAGTTGTATGTGAATCAATCATTGCACCTGCAACAAAAGGGAGRTGCTTCACRTACTCAACTTTGAAATAATTCCCTCGCATCTCATGAATCCACCACAGAACCTTGGGAAGAACACGGGGGACATTCTCCTTGAGGACAGCATCCAACCATTTTCCAGCAACAGCAGTATTTAGAACAACCAAATKAGCTTTTAGAGCAGTCTCAACAGCTTCTTGYCCCTTAGCAGATAAAACCTGAACAACCAAAATCTCATACTCAATCACCAATAATATGACAAAAAAAGACACAAGTGAGCACTTTTTTAAAGACAAGGAGACATAAATATGTATATAATTAACTATAAAACATGTACCATTTGCTAGCATTCCACTAATTTTACATAAGTAACTACATGATCAATAACTGAATCATTAATTGAGATATATATAATATGTTAAAGGTCCCAACTTTGCCTTAGCAGCTAATTATGGGAGCCAAAACAATATCATCGAGCAAATTTTAGTCCTCCTTTGAAATTTTAGAACATATCGTATTTAATCACATACCAACAAGTACTCCAAACTAATAAACATATCACGTGATATGACCTCTACAGTGCCTGAGACATAACTTATTCCGGTTTCATAAATTACGCATTACAGTAATCAAAGACTTCCCAGAGTTAAATCCTCGATTTCTATGGCATTCCTGATCAAACTCAAGATTTTTAATTGAACAATAGTGCAAGAGTAACATTGAGAAACATTTTCGTTGATTGAACACAGCTTTATTCATGATTACGTGAATAAAATTTAAGAAAATGAATGTAACCTGCACTCCTCGATCTAACATCTTGCGCTCCAAACTGTATACTACTTCATCGGACTCCAATGGCTTTTGATTAGTGATCCAAACAACTTCAGTACCGACACCTCTCAACAAAAATGCAAGCTCCATGAGTAAAAGAGGCCCACCTGTACCCAAACTAAAAGCTCTTAGTCAATTTTMTATAAGATTTCCTTCCAGCTGCAATTGTCAGGAGGGTTACAAAGAAAATAAGATTCCAATAATACCAGAAAGAGAGAGCTCATGGGAGACCAATAGGACGAGCTTCGACTTCATGAAATCAAGAGGATTTGGAACTTTTCTTTCGATTTGAGTGGAGCGAATCTGTGAGTCGATACCATTTTCTCCCACGAAACGTCTATTCCCAAAACCACTACACGAATCGAATGTAGTCCTCATGAAGAAAACCATTGCCGTGGATATGGAAACCARAGCCAAGATTATCAAAGGCCATCTCTTCTTCGCCATTGTAATAGTTAAAAACGGACGTTTCATCATTCGTATCGCACGAGATTGATCGAGACGGTGGGAATTCGATTCAACACGCATGAGTTAATCGCAATTCAGCGAAAACCCTCGATTCAGCGAACAAATTTGCATCGTGGGTGGGAACGCGGAATGACAAATTGAAAATCTTGCAAGAGGGGAAAGAACCCCATAAATCCTACCAAGTGAAACGACTACCCTGGTGAATTGGGACTGACAAATCCAACAAAATTCAAGAGCTGGGATGAAGATACCTCATGCCGCCACTTCGCCACGAGAGTGAAGTGAAGTGAAATTAGTGATCAGGAGGAGGAAGAAGTAAGAAAAATCCAAAGAACCATGGCTCCGCCACACCATTTGCAGACCAGTTAGTTCAGTTTAGTGGTTGCTTTGGAAGAAGACGAGACYGAGACAGATCCAGGGCAATCGATGGCATAAATAGTGGAAGAAAGGCCCAAAACTCTGCAAAACATTTGTATGAAAGGACAAATTATTCCATCATAATAATGAAATTTTACTCAAATTGGTTAAGAAAAAAATATTGAAAAATGAAAATTTCCCTATTTGTTTTAAAGTAAATTGGCTGGTCACTCTTGGCACATTTGCAAGGGACAATACTTGTGACCCAAGTTTGAATTTTTCGCATGCCTCAAATTAAAATTATGTACTAAAAAAAAATTGGCTGGTCACGTGCCGGACATCCAAAGAACAGGTCGCCTTGGCATCACTAGATCTATTGAGGAGAAACGAATTAGCCCGACTTCGTTAGGCTACTCYCATCATTAGCATGCTAGAACAACGGGATTGACCAGGCGTAGTCAACGCTACCACTAGCAAGTCCATCCCAATATGAAAGCTAGAATCATGAGTTCCTTTACCAAATTCGTTCGCCGTAGGACATTCATCTATCGAAAGAGATAAGTCACTTTGTTTGTGTAAATTAAATTCGTGTACGAACACACGTTAAAGATGTCTGGACCGAAATTAGTGCTGTCAAATTTATATTGTTTTATAATATAACATAACAATTGTCATCGTTTTGGTATCTTAAATATCACATAGGGATAGRTTTGGACTAACATGATTTTCCAAACCACGTGACCAAATAAAATAAAATATTAAAGTTTAAAGATCAAAATAATATTTAAAAGAAAATTTAAAATTTTAGTGAGTGTTTGACTCACTAGTTAGATTTGTGTAGCTTGAAGTTGAATCTTTACTTTATATGTGAGTTTGTTTATGAATTTTTCAATCCCACAAGTGGCATGAGTTCGTGTTATCTAAATTTATGTATACAAAACCTACATTTTATTTATACACTAACCTTCATAACGTATTATTTTGTCAAATCTAAATATCAATTAAACAAACTCAAACTTCATAAATTCAGGCTTGTTATAATGGTATGAAACAATAATGAAACAAGTAAAAAATTACAATTATTTTCTATTAGTATGAAAAAACTTGAGTTCTTGTGTTACATTACAAGCTTCCTTGTATGGAAAAATCCAAACAAATTACACTTATTTGCAAGTATATCCCCAGTTCCCCAACAAAATCTATACCTTTATAAGTACCAATTAGTTGGCACCATACCATTATATACACTATATTAAAAATTTTATCTTTTCCATGAAATGAGATCACAAAGTTTCAAATTAAACTACAAAATCATGCAACATATTTGAACTGGTGAGCCTGCATYGATGAGGCCTTTCTGGCTCTAGGCAAGGAAAATCTTGTGGCTCAAGCTCTACAGAACCAACCATTCTGTTGTTACTGCCAAACATGCCAAATTCATCACCTTCACAGTGCTTCAACTCTAGAGCAAGCGAAACGTCTCCCCCGACCGAGAAGTTACTGGACCTGATCATGTCGTCGTTGGAACATGGGCGGTATACGACTCGCTCGCTGCATTTCGTGTTGTCGTGCAACTCGTCTCCGAGAAGTGAAGTGTTCCATGATGCTTTGGATGCATTTTCTGGTGAGGATTTGAGGTCTAAGTTTGAATCTCTTCCGAATTCTTCTTTGTACATCTCCTCGACCATCGGTTTCCATAGTCGAACACGTGCATTTATGAACCAATTTGCAACCTAAACAATATGAAAGGAGGGTACTAAGTGTGTTTGGATGACTTTGGAAATTTTTCTTTTTAAATAGAATTACTTTTTCTTCAAACGCCTTTGGAAAATTACTAATTTAGCTGTACTTTATAGTATAGCCTTTTAAGTAATAAAAATGCTTTCTAAAGAATATAACAAATTTGATAATAAATAAATAAATAAAACATTTAAAAAAATCAAATTAATTTTAAAATACTTTTTGAAGAAACACTCAAAAATGACTTTAAAACGATCAATATTTGTGATTAGTAGAATCACTCTTAAATATGTAGTACAAGCAAATAAACTTGTTACCATATTGGATAAAAAGTGCTTTATAAAGTGCTWTTTTAAAGAATATACCATATTTAATAAYAAATAAATAAATAAAACATTTTAAAAAATCMGATTAATTTTAAAATACTTTTTGAAGAAACACATGAAAGATGACTTTAAAGCGATGGATTGATAATCATTTTAAATGGTAGAAAAAAAARCATAAATATTTGTGATTAGTAGAATCACTTTGGTACAACCAAATAAACATGTTACTCAAAGAACTTCTAATAAATTATAACCAAATGCATTACTAATAGCATTTTTATTAAAAGTATTCTAAGAAAAGTGCTTAAACTAAAAGGTATGTCAAATTYGTTCGTATTTGCAACCARATGTTTCGATTTAGAGGGCGAAAATCGAGTTTTTTGATTGAAGACTAAAGTAAGTACCTGATTTCTAGTCAAGCCAGTCTGTCTTGCTAGTTTAAGTTTCTCTGAATCCTTGGGATATCTGTGACACAGTCAAAACAAATGTAACAGTWAGACCTTGGTAAGCATACAAACCTAAATTGTGAGACAATGTACTAATAGTTTAGAGGGCATACGGATGGAGGAAGTGTTCGAACAGCCAAGCGCGAAGAATCGACACAGAGCTTTCGGGAAGCCCCCGTTGAGGCCTCCAACTATGTGGCGTGACACCGAGTTGCTGAAGGGCCCTCTGTTGCCTGAGCTGTTGGTCGACAAAGCGGAGACGGGGAATGCCTTCTTGACCAGGATGTGAGGCATCATGCTCTCCCAAGGCTCTCTTGGTGACCTCAATCTGTGAATTGATTGCATCCTGCAAGCGGCGGAAGTGGCACGAAATAGTTCGGTGCGCAAGCGCAGTGTAGAACTCTGCAGCCCCACGACCTGCTACCATGTCGAAAGACGATGCCAAAAACTGCAACTGTTGGTAATATTGCTTGTATCTTCGATCAACCTGCAGATCGACCGATGTCGAATCATTTGAGATAAACTTATGATGAATTGCAACATGTAAAGAAAACAATTCTGAAGAGATGGTGGAAGAATGATAGCAAATTCAGCAATGTCAGCCAGTTTTCATAAGAATAGTATGCAAGATAAACAAATTGAGAGAGAAYGAAACACAAACACTGATGCTAGAACATTAAGAACCTATTTGGATTACCTCACCCAACAAGGACATAAGCTTTGAGTTTCTGTTCTTCAAGTCCTGCCGTTCGGYAGGCGATAGATCGCTGGACGGATTGGCGATCGACGACTCCCTCGGATCGGAAAACATCTCCCCAGCCGGATCATTAGATCCCCCATCATTCTCTCTGCAGCAATCAGCACCCAAACCATTGGAACCTTTGAGTTTCCTAGACCTAAGCTCCTTCAAAGCTTCTCGGATGCTAACCATTTCGTCGAGCAACTGCTGTGCAGCCTCGACGTATACCGAATCCAACGTCAAGTTTGCCGAACCCGCAGCCATATACACGCCGTGTTTCGCACCAGATACACAAGCCTTCGGGTTCGGCCTCTTCTCGAAGATCRAAGGAGGGGTATTCATGAACGAGGAAGCCAAAGCAGAGGGGTGATACTGGGGAGGAAATGAAGGCATGGAAGCAACAGAATTAGGAGAGTGGGTGGAAAGGCTAAGTGAAACGCCCTGACATTGGAAATTAGAGTCATCCAAAATCCCCACAACCGGTGGAACAAAAGCCATTTCACTTCTCTCTCCCACAGTTCCAACAAAATTTGAAGAAACCCCAGAAAAAATCTCTGAGTAATCCCTGCAAGAAGGGTCCTGATTCATGAACATCATCAAATTTCCAGAACAGAGAGGCTGTTCTTGGCCAGAAGAACCAAGCTTCTGGTCTCCCAACATGGCGTCTCTTCGATTATTGCTTAAACTTGGAAAATATGTCATCTCAAAGCCCAAAAATCATCAGAATTTCACAACCCCACTTTCAGAATGAGAGTTGAAAGTACAAATTGCTAAAAGAAAGATCAGAGAAGGAACAATGATGTGCGATTGTAGTGGGGGGCAACCTTGAAGTAGAAACCAGAAGATTAAAAGTGGGTTAAGAAGAAGATTTGAGGAAGACCCAGATTCCCAAAAATGGAGACAAACACTAATCCCGAGAGATTGATGAGGCATTAAATAATATCAATAATTACRAAAGCCCTAAAGAAGAACACGGCCAGAGCATCCCCTTTCTCATCATTGGAACAACGACTCCAACACCAACTCGACAAAAAAGCAATAAATTATTAAAACGACATATTTTAAAAAAGGGGTATATAATAACGAGAAGCACAGCAACAGAACAGAACAGCACCAACTATGAATATTTTATGGGTTAAGAGTAAGAGAAAAAGTCATCGTCAATCCCAATCATTCATAGAGCCTTCTCTCACGTGTGGAAAAAGCTAACTAGGAAAAAATATATATATGGTTCACATAGAAGAAAAAATAAAAATGACTCTTTTATTTACCAAGTCTCTATAATTTTCAAAATCTAGAACGTATCAATATGAKTTGTAAATATGGAACAATTTTTTCAAAAAATTCATCTATTAGAACTCCACGTGTTCTATTTTTTTTATCGTTACGAACCTTTATCTTGCAAAGTTATCATATTTGTAAAATCTTATTCTTTGTGTTATGTTTGTTAATATGACAAAATTATTTGTCGTCGATTCTTACGCGACAATGAAACCTATCTTAATTGATTATATATCAGAGTTAGAGCTAAGTAAGAAAATATAAAGAAGTATATAGATTTTTTTTTCATGGACAAAGATGATTAAAAAAGATTTGTAAAGTTTAACCAAATCATAGAAGATAAGTTGAAATAAAGTTCAAATCATACTATTAAAATTGAAACTTTTACAACTATGCATACCAAATTGGAGCTATGTTTAGGGACCATAGGAAATTTGTCATTTAAAAAATATTTAAATACTATTGTGGTATGCATATTTTTTACTTTTTTAGTTCATTTTCGTCTGTGTAATTTCAATACGTTCATTTGGTTCATTTGATTTATGTACTTTAAATTTTTATTCATTTTAGTCATAAAACATGTTTCTCTTACTCAATGTGCTTTTAAATTAATTAACAATTTAGTCCATATTTGTAAATTTTTAACACAAATTTATTTAATACAAATATATAGTTATATTTCAAGAAACTTAGTAAGTGAGGTGTTAGACTAAAATTATGATGAATGGAAATGAGATAAAAAAAATGAGGGAGACCAAAATAGAAATTTTAAAAGTACAAGAGACTAAGATGAACTTGAACTAAAATAAACAAAAACCGAACCTACACGAACAAAATAGTATTTAAACTACCAAAAAAAAAGAAGAAAGAAAGAAAGAAAATCTTAAAACAAAAGGAAGAGGATGAAGATGGTGGTAGTTGGTTGCTTAAAAGGATTCTTCAAACCTTAACCACCAGTTGATAGACCTAAAACCTCCATTACTTAACCCTTCTTTTGAAGCATAAATTTAACACCAACCCTTTTATTTTTATTTATTTTTTCTTTTTCTCTCCCTTTCTGGTTAGGAGAATTAAAATGTGAGGGAATTAATCAGGGCATCTAATCAAAGAAGTGGTGGGTTTTCAAAGCATTTAATTTCTAAGAAGTCGGCTGCCTTCAGAAAGAAAGAAAAAAAAAAAAGTGTAAATTAGCTGCACTATCACAACATTGCGTGAAAATAAAATTATTATATATATAAATGGGGAATTTTAATTTCATCAAACGTTTTGGAAAATAAAAATATAATTAAATAAATTAGGAGTTTCTTTCTTCTGCTGCTGGTCTCTTAAGATCGATGGTTATGGTTGGAGGGTCGACTTCAGAAGAAGCCAAAATCTTGTAAATTAATCCTTCCAAACGAAACCCATGCAAAAAATATATATTATTCTGGAAATGTTGGTAAAAAAAAATATTAAGTGGGTTCTAATTTCTGCTTAATGAACCAAATTTCATTGCATATTTTGAGAAACCTTAAAAATTTTCATTTATGTGTATAAATTTTTAGATGAAACCTCTATTTAATTAATGTACATTGCTAATGTCATAAACGTAATCGAGTGATATACTTTTATGTTTTGGTACTCTATGAAATTGTTGGAAATATGATAAAAGATAAAGTAGCTATTTTGGTTAAAAAATATGATCTCGTGATATAACATATCTATTTTTCGGAATATTTTTTTGTTTGGCTTTTTTTGGGAAATTGTTAATTTTCCAAAAACTAGGTTTTCTTTAATCTCCTAATAATTGAACTATTGAAGTGGATTAGGATACCTTTTTCCTTTGATTATATTTGGAAAATAAAGTAGCTTATTTTATGGGAGATGACATTTATTTAATACTAGTCTAATTAGATAGTTAAATAACATGTTGATAACGATAGTGAAGAAGATTCTGCATTTAATTTAATTTTGGTATAAGGGTAGGGGTAGGTATTCCATTTTTTTTTTGTCTATACCTTTAAATTTAGTGCACGATAAAATATAAATATTATCTTCTCACCACTTTCAAAGGTGTTTGCCTCTGAATGTATTGATGTTCTGTTTTAAGTTTTATCTCTTTTTGGTAAAAAAAATAATAAAATAAAATTATTTCCTCACAACTCTTCGATTAAAAAAAATTAAATAGAATATACTTTAGATTATAACATGATCTTCTTTAGTCTAAAAGAGTAATTTTTTTACACAGTTTTGATTATAAAAAGATAACTATTTTTTTTTTCCGGAAAAAAGGATATCAATTGTACATAATTTCCCAACCTAAAATTTGCAAAAGGCCTGAGTTTTATAATGGGCCGGGATTAAGGCCCTTTAAAATGGATCAGAACTGGTACAAAGTCTAACATGCCCTTAAACCCACTAATCAAATAGTTCTGCTAAATTGGGCTAATTGGGCCTACAGCAGATAATATTTGAAAATGGATTGTTCTGTATTTTTAAATTAAATCATTTTTCTTAATTTAAAGAAAATTGCACAAAGTGCCGATCAAATTGTTAAAGTTTGGCACATGGATTTTTAATTGCAAATATTGAACCCTCAAATTTTCATAATTACAAAAATCRGACATTGTCTCAATTGGGCTCAAAGGAAATCTAAGTTTATTATTAATAAAAAATGCACTAAACTTTCGACCATGACACTCCTAATAGATAATTTTTTTTAGTACAATATGTGGGGTGAGGATTCAAACTCACGACCTTTTGATCGAAAATAGATGTTTTATCTAATTAAATATGTTCAGATTGACTCCAATGAAAAATCCTTGATATCTACGAAATATTTCACTTTATTTTCTCTCTCCCTCTCCTTTTTAAACTTTTTATCAGTAACTCTTCTAAAAGAACGTCTTTTCAATAACTCGTAGAGATAAAATTATAGTTTTACTATTAATACTGTTAAAAATCAATTAAAAAATCTAAGAGGAATGGTTTCAATGGATCAAAAGATTTTCTTCAGTCAACTGCTCTTTGATGTCATATTCTAACTTGAGTGACGTGTTAGTATGAGTTCAAGGAAGATATTTGGTCGACTTGAGCTGATACTTGTAAAGACAGAATCTAACATCAGTGTGATGCTCGATCAAATACACTTCGAAGCTTAAATTAGAACTCATATCCGAAAGAATGCAGTGGCAAGCTAGAATTTAGTGCAAGATATTGCATAGTTTAATTCCACATTTTATAGAAGGAGAATTTTTGGAAGTGTACTGTTCACGTTGGCACCATCTTGTTAGCAAGCGGATCTTCCACCGCCTACAAAGATATGCTGACAGTGCAATCATACTCCCACTGAATTCCTAATAAGGAGAGTAATATGGATATTGAATATGTTGAAGAAAAAAAGGGACACAAATAATCATCAAAATTAAAATTTTATCCAAAGTCTCATTTAAATCATATAACGTCTCTAGATGTTTCTAAATAAACTATGATTGAAAATTTATTTTCATATTTGATTGTTTCATGAAGAGTTGTTTTCTTAACCAGCCCAAATTGATCCATTTGTCAACTCTTATCTTTTTTTTTTCTTTTTTCTTTTTCTGAAAAACAAACTCTTATCCATTTTTGTGTCGGTTACTTCTTATGAAACAATTAATCCTCAATATTGACTTTTGGGTAATACTGTTCACTGTTGTACCTATAATTCATGATCTGGAACATAATATTTTTCTCTTCAATAATCACGCATAATATATTTTTTTAAACATTACAACATTAAATAAATTTAATGTTTCTTTATATATAGTATACATCTTACTATGGAAATCGTGATAAAATTTGTATTACTTCAAAATATGGAGCAAAACTTGAATTCAAAAATTTGATCCAAATCTTAAACTTGAATCGTCAGGTACATCTCAGTAATCGTAGTTTTTTATGGATAATATTGGAGAGAAAGTGTCTCTCAAATAAAATTTATAAGAATATGAGAGCACGGTGAGATATATGTGAGTTTTAAGGGAGCTACTACTTTAGCTTCTTATTTCTAATTTGAGAACTATATCGTTCCAATTGGAAGTCAACTCTCAAAAAACCGTCCGAATAATATAAAATTTAAAAAACAATATTCCCTCCAAATCAATAAAATTTTTCTTTYTAACTTTTTTGAGATTCTTACTTGTGTGATTGGTCAATGTAAGTATAATTAAATTGACGTATAAAATACTTATTTTAAATATCTTATTGGAAATCTTAAATTCATCCCACAAAAGACAAAATATATACATTCAAACTTTTGAAACGTATTTTTTGTACGCAATTCAAATCTAAAARGTCCAAATTCAATGAACGAAATTGAACTATGCTCTTGAARGAGAGCCTTCTATGCTGAGGTATTGTTGGGAGAAATGCCCTACAGATTAAGACACTGTTGCAACGTGGCACTCCCGTATATCGACACGTGGACTAGTCTTTTAAAAGAAAATATAATTACCCACAAAATAGAAAAAGAATTTTTGCAATTAATTCAACCTCACAAAATAGAGACATATGGCGGAACCAACGGACTAAATTGTAATTAATGGGAACTCACATTATTCTTTTTTTTCTTTTAATTATAAATTTAGTTTTMATCGATTCGATTGGTAATGTTATTGTTTCTCGTTTCTTGTTTCCAATTTTYTTAAAAAATCTAAGTATCTTGCAATCAACTATATTTGTCGTTTCTCATTTTCCAAGAACATTCTCAAAATT